TAAGCTGCTATTACTATACCATCTATATGAGCAAATAATCATCATCAAGGTGTTAAGATGACTTCAAAGGGCCTCAATACATGTTAGCTTCCTTGATGTTTAAAGTCTGGGGACTGGGATGCGGGCCTGCCTTGGTTCTTGTGTTTCCTTGGCCTCCCTATCTTTCCAACTTCAGGGAAGCCTCCCCCTTCCTCCCCTCCCCAGGGTGACCTATCATCCTCCCTCAGGACCTAGACTTAGGGCGTTTCCCTCCTAGGCTGACACTTGTCTACTTGCCTACCTCTAGCTTGGCCCAGAGGGACATACATACTCTGAAAAGTGTGGGTGAGACACACAGCACTGTTGGCCGAAAGGTGAGCACTACCTGGGAAAAACAACCGCTCAGAACAGAGTAGGCTTTGAACAGTGTTGGAGGGGAAGTGGCCCTGCAGGGCACCAGGGACTTTTAAGGGAGTGAGAGGGCATTGGGAGAAGATATCCAGAGACAAGGAAAAAGGAAACTTACGTTCTCTTTCTCTAACCAGGCACATGGCCCTTCTTCAGAACAATAAGGATCTCATTTCCACAGGAATGAGGGAATTTAGCATTCTGCTGGATCAGCAGGTAAGTCTGCCACTTTGCTGCCAAGAACAGGCCTGGAGAATAGGAGGTGAGGGCAGAGAAGGGAGAAAAAATTGGATTTGGGAGAGTGATGGTGGCCTTGATGGAAACAACTCAAGATGGTGAATACAAATCGGAGGAAACCGGATGTGTGTTTGTGGGGACCGTTTCCTATACTCCTGAATCACAGTGCTGACCACACTGCCCCTAACCCTCAGGTCATGGCTGCTGATAACCCTATCTCTGAAGAAGCCATGGTGACTGTGGTGGACGACTGGGTGAACTTCTACATCAACTATTACAGGCAGAAGGTGACCGGGGAGCAGCAAGAGCAGGAGAGGGCTCTGCAGGAACTTCGGCAAGAGCTGAATACTCTGGCCACCCCTTTCCTGGACAAATACAGGGCCTTCCTGAAGTCCTTGTGAACGTCCACATCGCACACCGTCTTGCTCCTAGCCTGGCGAGCCAGGCCTTCATCTCTAAGAAAGCCCCAAGCCCTGGCTCTGTGTACCTCATGTCCTCAATCTATGCTCCCTCATGATGTTACTCAACTTTCACACCTCAATAAAGACAAGTGCCCTCTTCTACCAGTGTCTGTCCCTGACTTGTGGAGGCAGTTGGGGCCTTTTTTTTTTTCTTTTTAGCTCTGCTTGCTAGTTTTGATCTTGAAGATTTAATTTCTTAGAGCAGAGGTCAGCAGCCTTAAGTAACCACTGGCTAGTACTTCAATAGTCTGGTAGGCAAGGTCTGAAGAGATATTGGTGGGAGAGGGGAGGGTGAGTGGGGACAGAGGATGGCTGGGTTGGCTTAAAGAAAAAAACAAGTGGGGGCAGGTGTTGGAGTTTTACAGAAATTGTGGCCCTGAGACATGCTAGTCCAGCAGAGAGTTGGAAGTCTCGCAGTCTTGTTGACCCTGCGTCAGGTGGAATCATGAGCCCACCTGCCTCCATTTTCCAGTTCCCTGTCCTCAGCTCCAGCTTAAGCAAAGTTCTAGGACCTTCTGACACTAAAGACTACCTCCCAGGTGCCTCGGAGTACTGCAGTAATTCAGAGCCGGAAGAGATGTGGGGAAGCAGCCATCCAGTTCCTCATTTTTCAGAGAGAGAGAACCCTTACTTTTGCCTCCACTATGCCGGTTCAAACCCACCAGCCACTCCGCGGAAGGAAGACTCGTCAATCTACTTCTGTAAAGATTTACTGCCTGGGAAGTACAGTGCGGGGTCGCTGTGGGTCGCTATGAGTCGGAATTGACTCGATGGCAGTGGATTTGGTTTTTCATCCCTCGCCCAGATTCCAGAGTCGGAGAGC